CTGTCAGGCCCTATAAATTGAATGTCCCAATATCTGTCAGCAGAAAAACAAGTCATTTAAGACTCCACGACATTGGGTGAAGAACATTGAAACCTGATAAAAGCATTGCCTACATTGGAATAAACCTAAGAGTTTATGGATGAATAAATTTTATTTTCGCCCTTTATCCATGAATCAAGGATCAAAGTATACGCAAACGTTGTGCACCAAAGAAACGAATTAAAACCAGAATAGGTTTAGAATTTGATGAACTAGGCCTCGCATTCAAGAATCTTTGCCCACGGAGGCCGAATGAGAAAAAAACAAGGTAAAGAACATCAATTCAATTAAGAACAGAAACAGAACAAATTCAATATTGTTGATTTCATCTATGATTCAAGATCACTGATTCGAGAACCACCCCCATTTCCCCTCGAGATAATAACTCAAAAGAACCCAATTAAAAAAAATCAGACAAAATAAACAAAATTCAATTAAGATTCAAGATCATGGATTCCACAACAGCCCCACCATTTCCCCCCACAATCCAATAACTAAAAAGAAAAAAAAAAAAAAAAAAAAAATCAACTCACGCCTGAGCAAACGCCTTGAGAAAATGAACATCCTGATCGACAACGTGGCGAAATGTATCAACATCGAGAGTCCCACAAGCGAGACAAACGCAGAATGGGGTGTACATCGAGAATATCGACTCTCTACGACACTTATTCCACAATCTCCGAGCGAGAGGGCCATCGGAGTCGACATGAGAAACCATAGCCATACGAGGAGGCATGGGCGGCGGAGATCGATGAAAGGAGCTGAAAGTGAGGGATCGGAGGGCAGCGATTGGGATTCGGAATCGAAAATTGGAGAGGAGAAAAGCGGAATTGGGTGAGATTTTAGAGATAAAGAGTGAGCGCATCGGAAAGGGAAGAGGATAATTATATAGAAGAAAAAAGCGAAGACGGCGGTGGTTTTTGGGGGTACTCTGTCGAGCCTGTGTTGATGAACCAACCAACTCTCTCCCTTTTTTTCTATTTATTTTACTTTTTCTTTATGGCATGCTTCACGTAACTCTTGCCTTTCCAATCAAAATAATTATAATGTTCGGAACCAAAACCCCTTTTAAGATGTGAAAACATGTCTCTAAACGACGCGTTTTAAAAATCTTGAGAGAAAACACGAAAGGAAAAGTCCAAAAAAGACAACATCTACTAATGGTGGGCTTAGACAATATCCGTTCTTTGATTATGTTTCTTCAATCATCGATTTGAAGTTCTCAATTCTCGAGAAACTTTAATTGAAAAATAAAAATATTTAAGATAACTATCGACATTCAGTGGGGACAGAAAGAACAATTAGAGAGAGTGAAGGGCTCCATAAAGAATCTTAATCTTAGTTAAGATTGAGATTAGGGTTTTTTTTTCTTCGGAGAGATGCATGACCTAATTGCAAAAATCAAACCGAACTGAACTCGAAAATTAATGTTTATATGGTTGGTTTTGATATAAATAAAATCGAAAAATGTTGTTTAATTCAATTTATGGTTCAAAAATTGAACCCGTAATTGAATCAAACCACGCACGTTATTCAGTTATTTATAGACTCTCGTTGAAACTTATATTCCATTTTCGTGATGAATGAGATATGTATTTGTTCATAAAAGTACTTTTTATATATATATAAATTAAACTTAGAAGGCAACTAGATCTTGTACTTGACGTCGCCCCACCTAGGCCCAAACAATAGTTTAGGCAAATCTCGATCCTGCATAAATTGTGTATGTAACGCATCATGTTCAAGATTCGAGTCAAGATTTAAAATCAAGATTCACACATTTAATAACTCCGGCATTTACGTGCATCCCCACGACATGGGGCTTTGCAAATGATATTCGAGCAGTACATTTCCTAGTAAGATGTGGTTCAGGGACAAATCAAAGTGAAAGTGAGACCACATCTAAAAGGGAGTCACTGAGAAAAGGTTAAAAGAATTGAAAGTTACTACCTATACTGATGCATCTTTCTTTTTGGTGACTGAATCATAGGAACTTTGAAATTAAAAATGTTTTGCTTCTAACAAATTATATATTATGTGACCTCTTGAGAATTTTCTTAAAAAACATGTGACTGACTACAAAACATGCTGAAATGACATATATTGTCATATCGAAAGAGAATGTTGAGACTATCAAGTGCCAAATTTGGATTCTAGATCCTGGTCCAAATCGTGGGCATGGGTCGTTACATGCAAGGCTATCAAGGACAATTAATTATTTTTGGTTAGTTTGATCTATATTTTTTAGTCTAAGTTAAGCATAAACACACCCCATTAATATAGGTGAGAGCTCGATCTCGATCTCGATCTCGCACATAGTTTCATGTAGGGTAGTATCATTTTTATATACTAAAAGTTAAAAAACATTATCTTTGTCTTTGTACTTTAGGACCTGTTAAATCTTAAATACAGTGAACTCGTGTGTGTATGATAGGTGAAGGAGGTCAGAGAAGTCGAGTTGGAGAAGTGAATGAGTAAGTAGCTCGAGGAGAAAGAGAAGAGGGAATAAAACACCTATTTACCTTGTGAAATAATAGTAAAACCATTGTTTACGAGGTTCAGGATAATTAATGTTTCGTTTCGTCTCGACTTCCTTTTGAAGGAGTTAATCAAAGCCTATTTACCTCGTGAAAGAAAATGAGAGTAAGAAATCATCATTTGTCTCGAGAATGCCAAACATCGATGCTTATATATATATATAGATATAGATATAGATATATAGATATATATATCGATAATAAAATAATAAAATGGGCTAAATTTAAGATTTATTGAAAGTATAAGAACTAAAATTGAACCTAGACTAATGACAATTTAATATAGTATAAATAAGAATACTTAAAATCATTTAATACTAATGACTATCACTCATCAAAATGGAGGCTAATTGTCACAATCGCGTTTCTAGGCAGCGGATTTGGCGATTGTGCGACACCCACTCTCAACAATGAGTGGGTCAAGCCTACTTCGAGTTACGTTGCTTGCGGTCGGGCAATGTGAATACAAACCTCAAGTCTTGATTTCAAGAGAAGATTTTTAGAAAGAAGGGGAGAGAGGTTTTGGAAAAAAAAGTTTTGAAACCAAGAGAGAGAAATTGAAATTGGTGTTATATGGGAATAGAAGCAAAAGGCAAGAACAACGACTTACTGCATATAACTATCGAGTATGGAGAAGTTGACAACTAGTCATATCCCCTATAGTAAATTTTGAGGCTTTTCATGTCTACCAGGCGCAGCCATGACATCGCCGAAACGTTATACTCTTAAAGAAAACAAGAAAAAAATAATACAACATGAAAGCGGTGAAAGAAAGCAATAAAGTAGTACAAGACAAAGGTTTCGGCGTGTCATGGGTATGCGGCCATGGGCAACATGTCTTGGACAAGCATGATCATGACATCCTCCCCCACTTAATTGGTTGACGTCCTTGTCAACCGTCTCATTTCTTCGAACTCTACAATCTAAGCTGCGGCTGTCTTCAGGTCGTTGGCACGTTCCCAGCTGATTTCTTCTTCTGGAAGTCCTTTCCACTTGACTAAAAATTCTTGTAAGTTGCGCTTAGGTTTGTCAATGCGACAGGTTCGCTCGGTCAAAATCTCTTCTACTTCCTTCTTACTCGAGTCCTTCATCGTCACTGATAATCGTGTCACTTGGTTGCGTTGCTGGTCGTCGTCATCTGGATGGTATGGTTTGAGGTTGCTTACATGGATGACAGGGTGAATTCTCATCCATGTAGGTAGTTGGAGACGATATGAAGTCCTTCCGACTTTCTCGATGACTTCAATTGGTCCCTCATATTTTCGCACTGGTCGCTAGTCCCGATTCCCCCACAATCTAAATTGTTCCGATCTCAGCTTGATCATAACTTGGTCACTAGCTTGAAAATCTAATGCTCTTCGTTTGTGGTCTGCCCACTTCTTTATTCTTCTAGAGGCTTTCTCTAAGTACGCTCATGCTATTTCAGAGGTTTGTTTCCATTCTTTGGTGAAGTTGTACACTTGAGGGCTTCTCCCAGCATAGGAGTGGTCAATAGCATAGGGCATGATTGGTTGTCTACGACATACTATTTCAAAAGAGGTTTTTCATGTCAACGAGTTTTATTGGCAATTGAAGCTAAACTGAGCAACATCGAGCATTTGTACCCAATTTTTTTGTCGAGCATTGATGAAATGACGTAAGAACTACTCAAATATATTGTTGAACCTTTCGGTTTTTCCGTCAGTTTGGGGTGATAACTCGAAGAGACATTTAGGCTCGACCCCAATAGCTTGAACAATCCAGTCCAGAAGGTCCCTGTGAATCTCGGGTCACGATCGCTGACAATGCTGGTGGGAAGGCTCCACAACTTGACTACGTGTCGGAAAAATAATTGTGTGGTCGCTTTAGCCAAGCATGACTTGCGGGTTGGGATAAATGTGATATATTTGGAGAATCTGTCAATAATGACTAAGATGGACTCCATTTCTCCTACCTTGGGAGGTGTGTGATGAATCTAGAGAAATACTTTCCCACGGTCGGGTCGGGACAGGTAGAGGTTCTAGTAGGCCCGCCATTTTGTTTCGTTCAACCTTGTTTTGTTGGCAGATAAGACAGGTCTTTGTGAACTGTGTCGCATCGTCACGGAGGTTTGGCCAATAGTACCCCTTTTTAGGAGGGCATAGGTTCTTTGCCACCCATTGTGACCCGCCCACGGTGTGTCGTGACATTCTTTTAGTAGGAGTCTCCTCAAGTTCCTCGAACGGGGGACGTAAAGACGATTTCCTTTGGTGAAGAGTAAATAGTCTTCGACCCACTACATGATGGCCTGAGTGGCCGAGTCTTTGGCAAGGTGTTCCTTGATACTTTCTCGTATCGTTCCACTCAGCTTACTTGCTTGTAGATGAGCTAATATGCACAAAGCCGCATGCTTGCTCGTCCTGTCCTGTGCTCAAACTGGAAGTCGAATTTAACCACGCATTCTTGTCAGCACGCTTGTTTCGACGATAACTTGGGTTGGTCAAAGAAGTGGCATATGGAACTGTTGTCTATCTTGACTACAAACTTGGCTCCGAGGAGGTACTGTCTCCAAGATTGTAAACAGTGGACAATTGCCAGTATTTCTTTCTCAGAGGCCGCGTACCTTCTTTCTGCCTCCTTTAGCTTTTGACTCTCGTACGCAATGGGGTGTCCCTCTTGGAGTAGGACTCCCTCTAGGGCGAAGTCTGAGGCATCCGTCTCGACTTCAAAGGGTTTCTTCATGTCGGCAATCCCTAAAACTGGCCCTTCCATCATGGCATTCTTAAAGTTGTCAAAGGCTTCTTGACACCGTGAAGTCCAACTCCACTTGTTTCTCTTATTTAGTAGTTCGGCCAAGGGCTCTGCGCGCTTCGAGAATCCTTTAACGAATCGCTGATAGTAATTTGCCAACCCAAGAAAGGAGCGCACTTCTATCACTAAGGAGGGGGTCTTCCACTCCTTGATGGCTTTGACTTTCTCCTCTTCCATACCTACCTTGCCTGCTTCTATTACATGTCCAAAGAAGTTAATTTGTTGTTGCGCGAATGCGCATTTTTCCCTCTTCACATATAGTTGGTGTTCTCTCAGTTTTTCGAAAACTAACAACAGGTGGTGTTCATGCTCTTCCATGGTGGAGATGTAGACCACTATGTCGTCCAAATAGACTACCACAAACTAATCGAGATACTCGTGGAAGACTTGATTCATCAATGTGTAGAATGTGGCAGGGGCATTAGTCAACCCAAAAGGCATGACTAGGAATTCAAAGATCCCATATCTAGTGACGCAAGTCGTATTGGGTACATCTCCCTCAGTAATCTGAACTTGATAGTATCCCGACCTTAGGTTGAGTTTCAAGAAGTACTTTGCACCATGTAATTGATCGAACAAGTCGATAATGATGGGTAGAGGGTACTTCTTCCTGACAGTAATTTTGTTTAGGGCGCGATAGTCTATGCATAGGCGCAGACTCTCATCCTTCTTCTTCTTAAATAACACTGGGGCTCCATAGGGGGGCTTTCGTAGATCTGATAAACCCGGCAATAAGTAGTTCATCTAGCTGCTTTCGTAGCTTCACTAACTCAGGTGGAGCCATTCTATAGGCGTTTTTTTTGGGGGTTTCGACTCCATATTAGTTTAATCTCGTGGTCTATGCCTCAACGTGGTGGTAAAGTTTTTGGTAGACTCTCTGGCATTACTTCGTAGTACTCTTCTAGTACATGCTGTATTTCTACAGGAACAAGTTCAATCGTTCCTTCAGTTTCCACCACAGGAATGGCCATGAACGTTGGTTCATTATATGCAAGACCACGTTTAAGTTGGAGCACCAAAAGCATCTTGATTCCATCGGGCTGTTTGATGCTTGTCTGAACAACAATTGGAGTTGACCCTGTTATGACTAGGCAATTGGGCAAGCGCATGGGGATCACCTTATGTTCCAATAGGAATTCCATCCCTAGTACCACATCAAAGTCATCCATTTTGATGATTACAAAGTCCACCAAGCTACTCCATGTCCCTAACTTAAGTGTAGTCTTTCTCGCTATTCCGAGAATCAATAAGGCCACAAAGTTGACGGCCTTCATCTTCCCCGAGTCTTGATGTCATTTGATGTTCAACTGATTCGCTTCAGTCTCGGTCATGAAGTTGTGGGTGGCTCCTGAATCGACCATCGTACTCTTGGCCAACTTGTGATTCACTCACGCTTCCACATACATGAGACCTTTTTCGATCCGCTCTTTTTGTTCCCAGGTTTTGTTTTGGAGTGCGCATAGGAACTTTAGGGCTCCCATCCGATTTTGCATTCGTGTCTGCATCTAATGCGGCTTGAATTGCCTATAGTGATGCCCTCTTTGGACATTCATACACCCTATGGTTCCCTTTACATAGAAAACAAGAGAGAGGTGGTCGATTGAAGTGGTTCTAATTCCGAGGCCCCTTACCTAAGGCACCAGTCCCTTTGGACATTCATGCACCAGTCCCCTGTTGGGGTTGTCTTGTCTCTCCTCCTCCGATCCTCGATTGTCTCCTCCTTCCATTCTGGAGGGATTAGAAGTGTGGTTGCGATTACCTCCACTTGAGGAGGTCTGGTTCTGCGTTGTCTCTTGGGGCTGTTCGTTGTTCAAATCGAACAGCTTTTCGGCCATAGCATAGGCCGTGGAGAGGTCTTCTATGTCATGTTCATATAGTTTAGACTTCGTTCATGGCTTTAGTCCTTCTGTGAACTAGAAGATCTTATCTAGCTCAGACATCTGTCGGATGTCCAACATGAGTAACGAGAACTGTTTGACATATTCTCGAATGCTACTAGGTCACGTAATTTCCTTCTGGCCATGATCTCAACATTATTTGGGAAAAATTGAGACCGAAGCTTCTGTTTCAGTCTCTCCCAAGTGTCTATTGTGCATCGGCCTTCTTGGATGTCCACATACTTTGAACGGCACCACAATTTTGCATCTTCAGCTAGATGCATGGTGGCCACAGTGATCTTTTCTTCCTCTTTCTTAGTGTTAGTTGCCTTAAAGTATTGCTCAAGGTCAAAGATGTAATTCTCTAAGGCCTTGGCATCGCGAGCCCTAAAGAAGGGCTTGGGTTCAAGAAGTTTGACCTTGTTGGGTCGCGTTGTCCTCTGGATAGGGGTTTGGTTCTCCACCACCCTTACGGCAACATTTACTCTAGCGCTTATGTCTTCCATTTCTACCCTAACTACGTCTAGGGCGGCCTTCACATCTTCAGATAGTTCTATGACCTTCTGAAGCATTGCTTTTTGGGAGTTGTCTGAGTCATCAATTCGCTCCTCAATCAGGCCAACAGAGCTTGTCGAGCTATCTCCTCGCTCAAAACCACCATTCTTTGTTGCTTTTGTTTCTAAGTTTTCCATTCGATACATTACTTCTTGAATGGGTACCCCATTCAGCCAACCCTTTTTTGCGTCAACGACGAGGGTCTGGTCAGCAAGTTCTTTCACTCGCTCATCTAGATAACAAATACTGTCGAGAACTTCTCACAAGTATTACATCTGTTCTTCTATTTCGAATAATCTGTCGACTTGAGACTTGTTCAACTGTTCAGTCGAAGACATGTCTATCGGTCACTTTGAAGCCAACTAGGCTCTAATACCAACTGTCACAATCGCGATTTCTAGGCAGCGGGTTTGGTGATTGTGCGGCACCCACACTCAACACTGAGTTGGTCAAGCCTACTTTGAGTTTCGTTGCCTGTGGTCGGGCAACGTGAATACAAACCTCAGTTCTCGATTTCAAGAGTAGATTTTAGAAAGCGGGGGAGAGAGGTTTTGGAAAAAGAGTTTTGAAAGCAAGAGAGAAATTGAAATTGGTGTTATATGGAAATGTAAGCAAAAGGCAACAACAATGGCTTAATGCATATAACTATGGGGTAGGGAGAACTTGACAACTAATCATATCTCTCTATAATACATTTTGAGGCATTTCATGTCTACCAAGCGTAGCCATGACATCCCCAAAACATCATACTCTTAAAGAAAACAAGAAAGAAATAATACAATATGAAAGCTGTAAAAGAAAGCAATATAGTAATACAAGACAAAGGTTTAGGTGTGCCATGAGCATGCAGCCATGATCAACATGTCATGGACAAGCATGACAGTGACATTAATTATCATTATATGGTTGAATGACTATCACATCATTAATGTTAGTCAATCATTTAAGTTAATTAATGTTAATTAATGATTTATAGGTTCTTTTTAAAACAATATTCTATATTTAAAATTATTTTTCAAATATTTTATATGTGAACTAACTTTTAAAATAACATATACACAAATATTCTTTGTAACGAAGCTACTTAATTAAATTTCTAAAAATAAAAAAAAATTCTTTCATATAAAATAGAAATTTATTTTTATCCTTTTTCATGGCTCCCTTTTTCTTTTTCTTTTTCTCCTTCTCCTCTTGAATCAGATATCATGTGTCACAATGACATTTTCTCAAAATATTTACAAGTGATGGTACGATACTTACTATCACTACTCAATGAGTCAACCGACTCGAATTCGTGTCGTCTCCAGTCGGACGACATATATCCAAGCATCTAATCTTGTTTTAAGAAGAAGGTTTTAAAAAACGAGGGCATAAATATTTGAGAAAGAGAGTTTGAAAGCAATGCAGAAGACAATGTTGAAAGCAATGTTATATACTAGTGAGAAAGAAAAGCAACACAACGGTTTAGATAGTATATAACACCATGTATGAACCATTGACGATGAGTCGCATCTCCCTATAACACATTTTGAGGTATTTTCAGTCTTTTGACATAGACATGAATTTTTTGAAACATCGTACTCCTAGAAAATACAAAGAGAAAACTATGCATCATAAAAGCGGTAAATGAAAGCGATAAAAGCATTATAACATGAAGAGTTTGACATGCAACAAACAAAACACTTTAGACAAGCAAGACCATAACATCATGCAATTTGAGAAAAGTCCGACACTAACTAAGGGCTAGTTTGTGTGCTCTTAAGGGTGGACCTTCCTAGACCGAGCCAAGGCAATATGGGTCAACCCCTTATGGAGCGGGGATAAATGTAATGGTTCTAAGATAATCTAAAACTTTAATTTAAGATTTGTTTTTCCAAACTTAATAAAAAAAATTATACTTTTTTTTTTTCATAATTTAAAATTTTTATTTTTCTAATTATTTAAATTTTGATTACTTCCAAAATAAATTACATTATTTTAAGTTTATCGTACTAATTTGTGTTTTATCAAGTTTGGACGAAGGGACCATTTATTTTATTACTTTAAATATGATAAATTTGAAAATAATATTTAACATTTTTAGATACTAATTTCTTAATTATAATACAAATTAGTACAAAATATACCTTTTCTTATCTTAAAATTATAAAAATTAAATATATTCTTTTTTAACTATTATTTGTTAAATAAATAAAAATTTATAGAATAAGTTGGTTTTTTTTTTTCTGACCATTCTTAAAAATAATTTTTAACTTTATTTTTTCATTTAATTAAATATTTAAAAGTAGATGTTTTATAATTAACCAAAGAATTGGATTTATAGAGTTGTTTGTTCTTTAAAAATTTACAACCCGAACAATTGGATCAGATATAAAAAATGTCTCGGAACTTAATTAACGAACACCTTTATTAATTTTTACAACCCCATTTTAATATTTTCTATTTTTTTTCCTAAATTCAATCAATAATAATAATAATAATAATAATAAAAGAGAGATGAAATTAGAAAATGACAATGGCAAAAATTGTCCACAGTTTTTATTATTATTGTTAATTTTATTGCTTTATATATAAATTTTAAAGTATTTTTCGCTCTCTTTTGGAAAAGGAAGTTTCTCTTTTAACTCTATAAAGTCACAAGTGTCACAATCACACTCTTGCTGAGACAACGATTGTGCGATACTTGTTCTAACACCGCGAACAAGTCAGTTTTGTGAAATTCAAACTTTGCGGACAATATTCGCGTATGCTCGAGTTTCAGACCATGTTTAAGATAAATATTTTGAAAAATATGAATGAGTAAATACGTTGAAAACAATCTTAAAGAAAATAATATTATAAGTTAAAAACAAGTAGCTTTGATAGCATATAACCAGGTAGAAAGAATTGACAACTAGTACATTTTGGAGCATTTTAATCTTGTTGGGTGCAGACATGATTTTGGTGACGGGTCATACACCTCCGACACAACAAGAAATATTAAACACTTATTTAACATGAAAACAAGTAAAAGAAGGTTTGGAATGCGTATCCGACCATGAACAACACATCCTAGACAAGCATAACCGAAATATCTGACATGCAACTATAGGTAACATGCTTTGAACAAGCATAACCGTGAAAACGTTCATAAAAAGAACTTTGTGTTTGAAAGTGAAATGCTCCAATATGATCCCACTTGGATAGATGAGCCAATCAAACTGTTGTTCCAAATCCTTCCACAAAAAACACTTGGTCAATATCATTAACAAATTCAACTACAATTGGTCCATGAATCATCAATTCATTTTCAACATTCATTGTTATGTCTAATTAGTCCTAGAAATATCATCCTGATTCAACGTCGTCCATACTCTAAACACATTAAGTAAATGACAGCTACAGAGAGATGCTAGAGTATGCTTAAATAACTTTCTAAGTATTTTAAACGTTGATAAAGTCATTTCAAATATGTCATTAACTCGTTTATAGTACTACTTCACTTACGAACCAATAGCGAAATTGGATAGCTAAACAACATAAAATGTATCAAGTCCCTTTATAGATTTTGGAATGTTATTTCCTTTATTGTATATATATATATAAAAGGACAAAAGTTATAAGAACATGGAGAATAGGATGCGTATGTGCTAACAAAATGGAACGGAGATTCTCTTCAACTTCTCAATGGTGATCTCTAACCATACGTATTCTCAATTGTTTTGAAACAAAGTTTGGTATTAGACCCAGACACCAGGCAGTGTGCGAATAAGAACACGAGACCTTGAAGGGAGGTGAATTTTGATATCCCCAATCAATTGGAGAGAGATACAAGTGCTAGCGAGAACGCTGGGCTCTAAAAGGGGGTGGATTGCAAGATCCCACATCGATTAGAGAGGAGAACGAGTGTCAGTGAGGATGCTGGGCCCTGAAGGGGGGTGGATTAAAAGATCCCACATCGGTTGGAGAGGGGAACGAAATATTCTTTATAAGAGTGTGAAAACATCTTCCTAGCACATGTGTTTCAAAAACCTTGAGGGCAAGTCCAAAAAAGACAATATTTGTTAGCAGTGGGCCTTGGGCGGTTACAAATGGTATCAAAGCTAGACATCGGGCGATGTGCCAGCGAGGAGACAAAGCCCTGAAGGGAGGTGGACATGAGGCGGTGGCTAGGCCCTAAAGGGGGGTGGGGCATCCCACATCAATTCAAGAAGGGAATGAGTGCCAACAAAGACATTGGACTCCGAAGGGGTGGATTGTGAGATCTCACATTGATTGAAGAAGAGAACGAAATGAAGCATCCTTTATAAGGGTGTGGAAATCACTCCCTAGCAGGCACGTTTTAAAATCTTTTCAGGGTGGTTTTCTAAAGGCAAACTTAAAAGAGTGATTCCGATGAATCTTGCAAGAGCTATCCCGTCACTTATTTGGAAGGAGGCGTACTCGAGAGTGTTCAATGATGTCTTATCACTTTGTCCCTTGGGTGTTTTTGTTCAGCTTTTGGCTCTAGAATGCTATTTCCATGTTTCTCATTAAAAACTAAGAAGAAAAAAGAAAGAGAATATCAGCCACTCTTATTCTATAACCGAGCAGGATTATTGTCATGTACATAGATTCATATCATTTTCAGTAAAAGCCCCAGCAAGAAGCTTAATTCTTTGACAGAAAACAACACATTTACAGAGTTCACAAACAAAGAAGACAAGCTTACTCTTCCTTTGATTTAAGTTGTCTAGCAAGTAAGACTAATCCCACAGCAGTAAAAGCAGACAAAACCGCCGACGAGTACGAAACCGCCAGTAGAGCGCCTCTCAACGACTAGGATATATAAATCATCAAATTACCATTAAGCATTGAACTTAAGAACCAAAATAATCATAGGGTTATAGTACCTTGGCTAGAAGTAAAGCATTGTCATTTGCATACTGCAGAGAACTCTCGGGAATGCTCTGAACGCCCTGACCCAGTTGCCATGAAATTACTCTGCGTTTTACATTCAAGACATGAAAGGGATATGCTTTTCATCTGATAAATGAAGAAATAATTGAAGAATCGAGTTAAAACGAGTGGTGATTACCCAAAAACAACACCAATTGCTGCACCGATGTTCGCCTTATCGACAGTCAGTTCAACTTGAAGCTCTCCAAACTGAAGAGTGGAACAATATTTCTTTGAGATCCCACATCAGTTGGGGAGGAGAATGAAATATTCTTTATAAGGGTGTTGAAACCTCTCCCTAGTAGACGCGTTTTAAAAACCTTGAAGAGAAACCCGAAAGAAAAAATTCAAAGAGAACAGTATCTGCCAACGGTGGGCTTGGGCTATTACAAATGGTATCAGTGCTAGACACCGGGCGATGTGCCAACGAGGAAGCTAAGCCCCGAAAGGGAGTGGACACGAGGCAGTGTGTTAGCAAGGATGTTGGGCCCTGTGGGGGGTGGATTGGGAGGTTGCACATCGATTGGAAAAGGGAATGAGTGACAGTGAGGACGCTGAGCCTCGAAAGGGAGTGAATTATGAAATTCCACGTCAGTTGGAGAGGAGAACGAAACATTCTTTATAAGGGTGTGGAAACCTCCCCCTAGTAGGCGCATTTTAAAAACCTTGAGGGGAAGCCCGAAAGGGAAAGCACAAAGAGGACAATATCTGTTAGCGGTGAACTTGGGCTATTAAATTACTTGAATAAAGTTCAAGATGGTTCAAATCTGCAAAATAGTGGTTTATCTGTAATTTATACGTTGCATCGAATATAAAGTTCAAACCTACCTTAAACATTCTGGTTTCGTTCTTCGGCTGTTCGGCTACTTTCGGAGCAGATGATGCAGACAGAAGCTTTCCAGTTGTGTTCATTGCTTTGGCAATCTACAATTGTGAAAACTTCCAAGAAACTTAGAAAAACTTGAATGATAAAATTTTGTACCGACATTCGATTTTCCATTTTCCTATGAAGAAAATTACAGGGTAGAACCTGACACGTTGATATTTCCTCGACCTCGAGAAGGAATACATAACGTCATTGACTTTCCAATTATGTAGAGAATAGGAAACCATAGATAGTGAACAGAATCTCTAAGCAACCTCAAATCTTTTCGCACATTAACTCGAAAAATTCATACAATATGATTGATGAACACAAAAGCTTTGATCATGAAAAGGTAATTTCAGGTTTACGATGTACCTTCTGTAGTTCGCCCTGACCGTACTGTCCCATTGATTGGAACCTTCTTCCAGCAGATATCAAACGCTTGCCAAGTCCTAAACAGAGAGAGACCAAACAAAGGTCACATTTATTTCTTCACAAAATACTTGAGTATCAATTTCCTTGAGTCCTGTTCTTGCCTGACTTGTAATTTTCAGTCAAAGATTGCACCAACGAGGGGAGCTTGCTTACTAAAGTATGTGAAGTGGAGGTGTCAGCTACTTCCCATGCTCGAGAGAGATTTAGCAATATTTCACCCATTTCTTGACCACACTGAAGCAGAGATTCTAACATTCTCAGTACATCACAAATTTATAGCAGAGAATCCACATTTATTTCAAGTTGAGAGTCGAAAATCAATATGTTCATCCTATTACGAGGGTCTTACAATAAGAAAGACGAGAATAAACAATAAGAAAAAAAGCATGTGTAGCAGAGATGGTGCGGTTAGGAACCACGACATCCACAAGGGTATAATATTATCCATTTTGAGCATAAGCTCTCATGTCTTTGTTTTTGGTTTTCCCAAATGGTCTCATACCAATGGAAATGTATTTCTTACTTATAAACACATGATCCTTTAATTAGCCGATGTGGGACTCCTCTCCCAACAATCTTCAACAATCTTCCTCTCGATCAAAGTATACCATAGCCTCCCTTGAGGCTTATGAACCTTCGAACAACCTCCCCTTAATAGAGGCCCGACTCCATCTCTAGAGCCCTCAAACAAATTAAACCCTTTGTTCGACACTTGAGTCACTTTTGACTGCACCTTCAAGGCTCAAAACTTCTTTGTTCGACATTTGAGGATTCTATTGACATGGTTAAGTTAAGGACATGACTTTGGTACCATGTTAGAAATCACAACCCTCCATAATGGCATGATATTGTCCACTTTGAGCATAAACTCTCATGGCTTTGTTTTTTGTTTTCCCAAAAGGCCTCATACTAATGGAGATGTATTCTTCATTTATAAACCCATGATCAACCCCTTAATTAACCGATATGGGACTCCTCTCCCAACCATCCTCAATCGGTGCCAACTTATGATGGCATCCTCCCCTAACAATTTTTTCTAATTTTCTTGTTTCTTCTCAATAATTTCGTTGTCACATTATTTTTGGGTTCAACAACAATATGGATGTGGGGTTTCAAACACTAGGGCTCCTACGATAGTTAGTAATATATTTGTCTTTACGACAATTTTTTTTGTTACATTTTCTACGATAGTTAGTAATAAATGAACTATACACAAGCCTTTCTATGAGATCTCACATTGGTTAGAGAGGAGAACGAAGCATTCTTCATAAGGGTGTGAGAACTTCTCCCTAACGTTTTAAAACCTTGAGGAGAAACCCAGAAAGAAAAGCTCAAATAAGACAACATTTGCTAGCGGTGGATTTGGGTTGTTACACTTTCCGTTTGAGTGTATTTTGGATAACTTTTAAAAAAATGCCTTGAAATGAAGGCATATCTTTTGAAAAGTGCAGCTAAAAGCAGTGTTAACCTTCCAGAAGTCATTTCAAACACAAGGTAAAGAAATCACTAATAAGCATCATTTTCTAATCCGATAACAAAACAAAATGGATATGAACACGCCTAAACAAGCAAAGATACAAGCGAGAAGAACATAAACGGTACCTCATCAATAACGGGTCCATTAGAGAGATCAAACGCAGCATCATTGAGCTTCACATACAAAACAACGTAATGGATATTAATCTCAATCCCAAAAACCGAAGAACATTAAGAACAGAGCTACAGAATGACACAACAACAAAACAAAACACATCGAATCTAAAACTTCCTCTTACATCAAGACGAAGATCACGGGGAAGTTTTTCGAAGTAATCTCGCGAGAGATCAAAACTGTCCTGTACATAAAATTGAAACAGCCACAAACAATCAAAACCCTAACAGAAAATTGGATATGAACTTAAAGAATTCGAGGGGGAAAAGTTGAGATGAAGCCCATACTTACGGCCAGTTCTTGAAGGAGAACTTGGGGGTCGGGTTCTAAGGACTTGGCGGAGTCGGATTCGGCGAGAGCAAAGGAAAGAGTGAGGGGTTTTGGTGAAAGGGGCTTTTGGGCAAAGGATGGTTTGAAGCGGATTGGATGGGAATATTGGGAAAAGAGAGGGGCAGAATGGGAAGAGAGAAAAGTGAGAGGTTGAAGAAGGTGAAGAGAAGCCATTGGAGTGAGTAAGAGAATCTGGTGTGTTCAGTGTCAGCCACTGGAATTTTTGGCAGTTTAAGAAGAAGGCTGTTTTTTTTTTCAAAAAAAATTAGCTTAAAATATAATATAAATATTATTTAATTTCCTAATTATTTTTTTATTTTTACTTTCCAACCTTAAAAATAAGTTTAAACTATATTTGATATATAATTTTCAAAAAAATATATAGTTTGAATGTTAAATCTTAATTAAATACTTAAAAATAAATAAATAAATGTTTTACAAATTATAATAAAAATAAATAAATTACAATTTATAACATAGATTAATTTTATATATAGTTTATTATTATCATTGAAATGACTTTATCAACGAATAATAATTTATAGTGCAACTCTAATTTCTTCAGTAATAATATATGACAATATATTATTACCAAAGAAAATATGAATAAATCTAAAAAATATTGTTTACTTGAATGAAAAATAGAATACATTCACAACGTTTAAATAGAATACAAGATACCAACTGATACTAACTAATTCCTACGAATAACGAAAATATAAACTAAATAAGTCTTGAGAATAAAATAAAATATACTACAAATCAAATCATAAATAGGAAGATATTAACAGACTACTAATATTTAAGATATATTCTCCAAATATTAACTGATTACGAATATCTTGCCTAATTCAAATTAGCAATAAGTTGGCACTAAATTTTTTCATCCCGTCTCAAAATTAAGGACCCTGCCCGAACTATACAATTACCATAACGAAGCGTGCGGATTTTCTATATTCGATACCCGATATTATAAATGAAAAACTACAAGAAAAAGGAATAGCTTTGTCCCTAGACATCATCCTCCAACTTTGGCAACTTTTCTTTGCTGAATTTGGGCTGTTAATGGACACTGCATTTCTGTCCAACTTATGGGTACCATCACTGAACCTAAAATAACATTCAATCCATAATAGAAGAGTTACATACAACCAGTGTTTTTTCAAAGCTCAAGCACAATAAAACGCAATAGCCTTTGGTGGGCTTCACAGATGGCGCCTTTCAAAACATTAGCTACATCTAGCCCTTAAAATGATGAACCAAGTACACAAGGATTGGCATTTTGAACAAGAGGCATGCTTATGGAGATCTATATTCATTCCTAATCAAGTAATAACAGAACATTCAAAGTACTAAAATACCAGTTGGACATCTATGGCTCAAGCTCTTTCATGATCAAGACGACAAGATAGGAACAACGATTACGGAAGTACCATACTGTTTATACCTGCTGTACTTTCGGCAGAGACGACGTCGAGTTCGTTTTTTGCAGTTGATAGATGATAGGCCCTTGCATCTCCAAGAGAAAGCTTTTGGAGAGAACTTTTGTCAAGGAAATTTGAGGTAAGAAATACACTCGGAATCAAAACCTCCAAGAAAATTTCATTAGTGCAAGCAATGAACAAAATCCAACAGCAAAATGATTAAGACAGAAAGGGTACAACAAGAGCTTTGACAATGTCACCAGGACGAAATGACAAATGCATATCTACTTTATCAATCTCCGTTGCTCGAATGTCTTGTTGCCTACGGACATGATTTAAGACAGAAAGCATGAATGATCTTCCAATGTAAAATATTTCCCAAACAGAATAGATTAGAAGACATTTCAAATAAAAGTCTGTCAATATAAAATATATCTATACCAATAATTGATAAAAAGCTGTGTAACGAAGGGTTTCTCATGACAAAAGTGGATTCGACAAGCATGAAAGTCTACTTCCACCTACGGATAAGCTAGACATTTTCCATTTTAAGTTGGTTCAATTATTTAATTACAACATTATAACAAGATGAAAAACAAAAAAACAAAAACATTCTTGTTTGCCAATTCCATCATCATGAAAAACAAAAACAATCCTTTTCTATCGCCTATGGCGTATTCCCCTTCCCTTGATTTCTTATTAGCAAATTTCTTCATCTTTGCTTGGGTCATCTGCTATCTCTCTTTCAGAGCATGTGAAGCCACATCCTTCTCACTGAGTTACTGATCCAAGGTTGGGTTAGTTGTCCTCTGATCACCATACATATCAACAAAGGTGGTGGTCTGCCAATTGCCATATGATATCAAGTATGAGATCTCATATCGATTGGAGAGAGGAACGAGTGCCAGCAAGGACGTTGAGCTCCGAAGGTGGGTCGATTGTGAGATCCCCATCGATTGGAGAAGGGAACGAGTGCCAGCGAGAACGCTAAACCCCAAAGGTGGGTGGATTGTGAGATCCCACATTGATTGGAGAGAGAAACGAGTGCCATAGGGTATGTTGGGTGTCACAATCATGGTTTTTAGGCAGCGGATTGGGCGATTGTGTGGCACTCGCTCTCAGCACTGAGTGAGTCAAGCCTACTTTGAGTCACGTTGCCTACGGTCGGGCAACGTGAATACAAACCTTGGGTCTCAATTTCAAGAGAAGATTTTAGAAAGCGGGGGGGGGGAGAGGTTTTGGAAAAAGAGTTTTGAAAGCAAGAGAGAGAGAGTGTGGTGTTATATAGCATGCAAGCAAAAAGGCAACAACGACTTCAACAATATATAACTAGGGAGAATTTGACAACTAGTCGCATTCCCCTATAGTACATTTTGAGACATTTCATGTCTACCAGGCGTAGCCATGACTTCGCCGAAACGTCATACTCTTAAAGAAAACAAGAAAGAAATAATACAACATGAAAGCGGTAAAAGAAAGCAATAAAGTAGTACAAGGCAAGGGTTTCAGCGTGTCACAAACATGCGACCATGGGTGACATGCCTTGGACAAGCATGACCGTGACACTGGGTCTCGAACAGGGGTGGATTGTGAGATCCCACATCGATTGTAGAGAGGAACGAAACCTTCTTCCTAAATCTCAGCACTCCTCTCATGGGGGCTACTTTCAGGAAGACGTGATCACCCACTGCAAACTCGAGGTCTTTCCTACGAGAATCTACATAACTCTTCTGCCGACTTTGTGCAGAGAGTATCCTCTCTTTAATTTTCTGTACCGCTGCGTTGGTAGTCTGTACCAACTCCGGCCCCAACAACTGTTTCTTGCCTACCTCCTCCCAGAATATAGGAGTTCTGCACCTGCCCATATAGAGCTTCGAATGGTGCCATCTGAATGGTTGCCTGGTAACTATTGTTGTAGGCAAATTCCATAAGGGTCAGGTGATCCCAGCAACCTGCAAAGTCTATTAAACATGCCCTGAACATATCCTCTCGGTTTGCCCATTAGTCTGAGGATAGAAAGCTGTACTGAACTTGAGTTGCGTTCCCAACGGCTTTTATAACCATTTTCAGAAGTTAGAAGTAAACTTAGCATCCCGATCAGACACAATGGTCACTTGCATGCCATGCAAGCAGATTATCTCTTTGACGTACAACTGGGCCCACTGGTCCACTCGATAAGTAGCTCTGTCGGGTATAAAGTGGGCTGCCTTAGTCAATTTGTCCACAATGACCTGCATGACATTAAAGCCTTATTTCCTCCCATTTCCACTGTGGGATATTCAACGATTGCAACAACCCTGCTAGTCGCTGTCTCGGGGCCTTTACCTACTGACAAGTCAAACACCGTCTCACGTACTTAACTACATCCTTCTTCATTCCCGACCACCAATAACTACACTTCAAATCCTGATGCATCTTAGTACTACCAGGGTGGAACACGTAGGACATGTTTTGTGCCTCAGTCATGATTTCCTATTGGATCTTCTCATCCCGAGGTACGCATAATTGGTCCTGCCACATCAAACCCTCTTCAGAAGAAACTGAATATCCCTCTGGTCTCTTAGTTTCTTGCTGACCCCAAATAGTTCGGCCCTCTCTATGTCGTCCTGTAGATAATTCTGCCTTGTGATCAAGGCAGATGTGTGGGCTGTCTTTCTGCTCAAGGCATCTGCCACTAAATTAGCTTTCCATGGGTGGTAAAGTATCTCAATGTCATAGTCCTTAACTAGTTCTAACCACCTCTACTATCTTATGTTGAGCTCTTTCTGTGTAAACAAATACTTGAGGCTCTTATGGTTCATATACACCTGAACTCTCTCCCCATATAGGTAGTGACGCCAGGTTTTCAATGCATATACCACGGCTGCTAGTTCAAAATCGTGGGTGGGGTAGTTGCGCTCATAGTCTTTCAGCTGTTTAGAGGCGTAGGCTATCACCTTGCCCTTTTGCATGAATACACAACCTAGCCCTTTTCCTCAAGCGTCGCTGTAAACCACAAGTCCACCTGATCCGCCGGGCACTATAAGTACAGGCGTAGTGACCAACCTCTTTCTCAGTTCTAGAAAACTCTATTCACACTCTGGTGTCCAGATAAAAGGTTTCCCCTTCTTGGTTAACTGTGTCAAAGCTGCAGATATTTAAGAGAAATCTTGTACAAACCTTCTATAATAGCCTGCTAGACCCAGAAAACTTCTTACTTCATCAACCGTGGTTGGTCTAGGCCATTTCAAGAATACTTCAATCTTAGCAGGATCCACAGTTACCCCTTGACTGGATACCACGTGTCCAAGAAAAGCCACTTCCTGCAGCCAAAATTCGCACTTCAAGAATTTGGCATATAACTGATGGGTTCTCAGTAGAGTTAAAACTCTCCTCAGGTGTTCCTCGTGCTCCTTCTCAAACTTAAAATACACCAAGATGTCGTCAATGAACACAATCACGAAGGTGTCTAAGAATTCCTTAAACACTCGGTTCATCAACTCCATAAACACTGTAGGAGCATTGGTTAAACCAAAAGACATGACTATGAAATCATAATGTCCATAGCGGCTTCTAAAAGCTGTTTTAGGTATGTCTTCCTCTCTGATTCTTATCTGGTGATATCCTGATCGCAGATCGATCTTAGAGAACACCGTTGCACTCTACAATTGGTCAAATAGGTCGTTTATCCTTGAGAGAGGATATTTATTCTTGATTGTGACCTTGTTAACTCTCTATAATCTATACATAATCGCATAGTTCCATCTTTCTTCTTAACAAATAGCACAGGGGCTCCCCAAGGTGGAGCCGTATGAATCCCTTGTCTAGAAGTTCTTGTAATTGTACCTTCAGCTCCTTGAGCTCAACAGGTGCCATTCTATATGGCGCTTTGGATATCGGTGTTGTCCCTAGTTCGAGGTCAATAACAAAATCTACCTCTCGATTAGGGGGCAGCCCTGAAAGCTCTTCTGAAAAAACATCCTCAAATTCTCCAACCACAGGAACAGAGGATACCACTAGACTAGACTCACTGACTTTCGTTACACAAGCTAGAATCGCCCAATCTCCCTAATACAACAACATTCTAGCCTTCAACGCTGTGATGACCCTAGGGGTATTTCTGGATATTCCCCTTTGAATTCAAAGTTCTCTCCTATCAGGGGCCTAAAGGTTACCTTTCTCGCTTCGTAATTGATGAGGACACGATTCTCGTCCAACCAATCCATCCCTAAAATCACACCGAAGTCTTGCATACACAGAACAGTCAGTGATGCTACAAGCTTTCGCCCTGCAACTGTCACACTACCACCTCTAACTCTATGGGTAGCAGTCAGGTATTTATTTGCTGGTGTAGACACAGTAAGAGGAGACTCTAGGAGTTCTAGTTTCAAGTTTGCAGATTTCACAAACCCCTCAAAAATAAAAGAGTGGGTAGCACCAGAGTCAAATAATGTAAATGCTAGGTGATCAAAGATAGGTAGTGTACCTGTCACCACTATGTCAGCCTCTTCTGCTTTTCTAGTCGTGATAGCATGGGCCACAGCTCGAGTTTGCTGTGGGACTCCCCGGCATCTCAGATTCTGTCCCACTGGGTTGTTTCCCTCATGGTTTCTCTTATGAGGGCAGTTTGCTACGCAATGGCCTGGCTTGCCACAACCAAAGTATACTTTTGTCCCAGCAAAACACTCTCCCTCGTGATATCTCTTACAGTTAGGGCATTTAGGTCCTGTTCTGCTCTTGATCTCTACCCCGACACTCAAATCGCCCTCGAGGCTGTCTATCAGATCTGAAGGATTCCTATTAGGCCTTCTTCGTTGGCCAGAGGCATTTTGAGTGGTCACTGTTGGCACATTTTGCTTAGCCATCTGTCGTGGCATATCCATCAGCGTTGCCACTCTCAGGGCTACAACATAATATGATGATGCTTGTACCATAACTGGACCCTGAATCTCTATTCGGAGACCAGCGACAAAACGATCAGTTTTCATCTTCTCATTACTGACATACTTAGGGCAGAACTTTCCAGTTTATTAAACTCAAGTTCGTATTCCTCAACAGTTTTGTCCCCCTATTTCAGTTCTATGAATGTTGTCTAACCCTTGAGTCGGGCAATTACTGGGTAATATTTATACAGGTAGGCTTCCTTGAACTAATTCTAGGAAATATAACCTCCCTCTGGTGTAATAGTTCTCTGTGCACCTTTACACCAAAAATGGGCTTCACCCTTCAGCATGTAAGTCCCACAATGAACTTGATATTCTTGTGGACATATCATGTACATAAAGGTTGTCTCTACAGCTTCCAGCCAGACCTCAGCTGCAACCGGATCCATCTTACCCCCGTCAAAAGTGGGCGGTTTATACCTCTGAAAGTTCTTCAAATAACGAGACTCCACAGTTGTACCCGGATCTCTCGTCCCTTTCATGGTGGCCTGATTTG